GATAGGATTTAACAATAATACGCACGGAAGCGTAATGTGAAAATACGGAAACTGGTCAGCTGTTCATTTATAAAAAAAAATTGTTTTAAAAAGTTGTATACCAAATATCTTAACCATATTCGATTTTATTAATTCTGAATGAACATGTTCTCTGCAAATAACAAAGGGGTGAATTATAAGCAAAAGGTAGATGATGGAAGTAGAAGTTTTTTTTCACACCAATGACTTCTAATGAAAAGTGGAATACACCTCCGTCTACACTGTCAGTATAAGCAGATTTCATTGCTTCTCCTAATCCCAACCAAGCTCAAGTTTTAGCAATTGATAAAAGCAAGCACCATGTTTCTGGTTTCAATGACAAGTGGCTGACTGAGTTTTCATGGCTTAGAAATGTTAAAGGGGGTATAAGCAAAAGTTATTGTGAGTGGGGGTTTAATTTTTAACCCTGAAGAGGATAAAGACAAAGTTGGGGAACAGACTGTCCAACAAAATAACACTATCTTGAAACAATATCCCTAGAAGGAGCAGAGAGTAGAGTCTTTAATTGACTGAATATAAATAACTTTTGTGTTTAAAATCTATTTATTTCATATATATATTCTTGTAATTCATTAATACTCTGCATTATTAAACACATAACACAAAGCATTATAATTCATATTGCATGTCATGATTTATGACTTATTGCTTCAGATCACAAACGTTCACTCTAAAAAAAGAGTTACGCGCCCTAGAATTTTGCGCCTTAAAAAAATCCTGGGGAGAACACTGACCCTTAAGTTTTGTTGTACTCTTGAACACATCCTAATAAAGTCAGACTGTTTCTCCTGGTAAACCAAACCAAAGAGAATTTTAAGTCCCACGCCCACGGCCCATTTGCCACCCAGGTCCCCCTGAAAGGTAACAAGACATTTCGGCACCCAGACAAATCGGCACCCAAGTCCGAAGACATTTCGGCATCCATTTTGGACAGTTCGGGATCCGGACATTTCGGGACCAAGACAATTCGGCACATCATTTTTTTAAATATATATATTAGGAAAAATAAAAGAATTGTTACCGTAATATTATAATCCGTTGATAAAATATGCAATAACAAAATTTGAAATCATCATTTAATTAAATCCTAAATGATTGTGTATGAATAGTAAAACATCATTTAATTAAATCATAATTGATTGTTAGATATGACGGTGTTTGAATAAACATCATTTAATTAAATCATAATTAATTGTAGTTATGCATTAATCAGTATTTTATGTATAAATCTGATAATTTCTCAATAGAGACAAATGAGAGATCAAAAGTGTCTAGCTTGTGTTTCAGCTTGTGTTCTCGTTTGATCCTTACATCTGTAAAGACAATACAATACCTGAAAACTATATTTTATTGTTTTAATATTAAAACCCATAAACATAAAAGCGCGTGCAAGCCATAATGACTAAAAACCCAGAAACATATGTAACACTCCCAAACGTGTCCATCCCCCCAAACGTGTCCGATTCCCCCAAACATGTTTATTCTCCCCAAACGTGTCCGTTATATTCAATATGACCCAAACGTGTCCGATTTCAAAACCCCCAAACGTGTCCGATAATTGTTATTCGCCAAAACGTGTCCACTGTTAAACGCCAGAACGTCTCACGTCTTTTAGCGCCAATACATGTATGTCCTAAATAAAATCAATAACGTTTACGGCAATTCTATGATGGGGAAACAGTTGATGAGGTAGTAATTTATTAGCATTAGTTTGTTCAATGCCGGTTGTTAATGATTATCATAATTGCAAATTTAATATGTAACATATGAATTAACTTTTGACTGAATTAATCGTTTACTATGTAAATTATGTGTTGCTAATAAACTCCGATGATGCCTTTTATATTAATCCGAAGGCGGGCTTTCAGCAGAATTGACTTCCCGGCAAGTATACTAGATTCTTTGGGGTTTGAATGATCTTCATACCAGGACCGTCTGCGGGAAAAAAGCTGTAGATGGTAGACTGCTGTGTACCATTCACATAACTTCCATGGATGATATCACTATTCACCAGAATGCTGTTGATGCTGATGATATTTACAATATGTTCCCCTTCCGTATAGCCGTTTGTGATCATATCGAACGTGTAAATCTGCCGCTCGAATCCCAAGACGGTGTTGATGCTATTGACAACGTTGAAGTCTACTTGATAGTGTCTGGCGAGGGTCAGCGTTGCTCTTAGGGTCGCCCGGTTGGCATCGATGATGATCTTCGTTTTGTGTTTGTTGAGCCGTAGCCGCCGCTGGATCTCATTGTTGATGTCTTCGATGTCATAGGAACCTGTGCTTAGTGCGATGGGAAACCAGTTGGCACCATCGTCGGTGGAGTAGCGGAAAGAATTGTTACCTGTATGAATGTTGGGGATGGAGTTATAAGTTTCCAGGTTTACTAATGCCATTTCGTAGGTCTTAGATTCCTTGAGTTGTAGTGGGGGGTTGAATCGGGTAAGGATTTGGCTATCGTTTCCAGAGACGATGAAGGAAAACCCATGCTTTGGGTCGGTATTATCGACAATTTGCTGCAACAATGTGTTGTCCATTTATTTATGGTAGACCATTGTCACATATTTTTGCTTCCACTCTTCGATACCGTCATACTGCTCCTTGAGTTGTTTACTAGCCTTCACTACGATCGCACAGACTTCATCAGCCCACTTTTTTTACTGACCCACCCGTTTGGTACAGTTTTTGTCAACTTCCTCATGATGTAGGGCTGAAATAATGGCCCAGCGTAAGCATTCCTGATCAGTATTCTGCACATTGATGATAGCTTTCTTTTGAGCGAGTGGTTTTGGCAATGCTATGTAGGAACTGCCTTTGAGAGGTTTAAACTTGTTTTAGTGGATTTCTAGCTTTTCAATATGACCAAATGTCCACCCACTACCTTCACGCATGTATTTAGCCATATTTTCTTTGACCTTCTTGACCATAAATGCTATTTCCAACTCAAGGTCTGTGGATTCGGTGATGGTGGTAAGGGTTGATCTAAAGTGGGGAATGACGTAGATATTTTCTCCGGTCGCTGGGTTTGTTTTTACCATCTCCACCTGTAGTACCAATTGCACTTTTAGGGCCTTCTTTTTGGTGAGTGCATCTGAAATTGTGCTGGCGATAGTGCTTTGACTTACATTAAAAAACGTTAGCATATCATGCTGTTTCAAGGGTTCAATGGTGATTGTGCCAAATACACCTTTCAATGCATCGCGTCGGTTAACAATTTTGATTTCCTCTTCAACGGGGGCATTTTCAATGTTCTTTTTCACCAGTTCGGTCAGGTCAGCTCTCCCTAGTCGGGAATAGTTGGTAATTCCCCGTCTTTTGGCAATGGTCTTCAGTTCCTTTTTGGTAAAAACCTCTTCGCGAGTAAATTTGTGGGCAGTATTGGTCTCAATTAACTTAACCAATTCCCCCTTGGGTTTCCTACTATATCCCTTAAGACCCTCCTTCTTTGCGATTTTTCGAAGTTCTTTCATGGTGGTTTTCACCACAATATTCCCTACAACTGGGGTATCCTCCTGCTGGCGTGGTTCTTTACTGTGTCTCCAGCAAAGCCCATCTTTCCCTGGTTTACTCTTACAAAACTGCCCCTTCTTTCTTTTTAGTGGAGCACCACAAGTTTTGAGTTCTTCATTCTCTTTGAACTGATCCATATTCATATCAACACTATTGGATGCCATCCCTTCATGTATATCAATTTGGGGAATGCTTCTTTCTAAGGTATTTGGGGCTGGGGTATCTCTGACATTTTGTGTAAAAGACATATTTGTATTTACCCTAGGATTACATCCTTCTAAAGTGTTTGGGTTTTGTGTAAAAGACATATTTGTATTTACCCTAGGATTACATCCTTCTAAGGTGTTTGGGTTTTGTGCTAAACTGAAAGACATTCTTGTTTTTACCCTTAGACTAATTGAAACGTATTGCGTTTGCATTTTATGTTTGGGGTTGGGGTTCCTATGCTGAATCTGTGCTTAAAATGGCAAGTGCCGCAGAATCGGCCTATTGACACTACTGTTATTGCATCTGGAATTATAAATTTTACGAAATATCTCTGTTTTTTTTTTTTTTTTTTTTTTTGTTTTTTTTTATTATTATCTTAAATGCTGATAAAGAGAAATTTTGAACAGCAAAAATGGCCAGCAAGTTGAGATCTACAACTAAGTTAACTAAGTTCACTGACCGAAATTGTAAATTTATCCCTTATAGGAGTTATTGGCTTGAAACGCATTTTTTTTTAAATTAAATTTTCAAGTTTTTTTTAAGAAAGTATATTGATGAAGGGAAACTTTAAGTGACAAAAATGTTCAACAAAATTAGATCTACGAATAAGTTGACAAGACAGCTATCCAAATGACTAAGCTGCAATACAGTCTTCACAAATAATAAAAACAAAAAGAATAAGATACTTCTTCGAAGATACCATATACAATATTGACAATAATAGTGCAGGAATTAAATTGGTAATTTGTAAAAACAGTCAAACATAATCGCTATATTAACACTAAACTTGTAAATTGAGTTCATACCCACATACATATATCAGTGCCAGGTAACTTAAATGTTTGGTTCACTATATTTTGATCAAGGATAAAATAATTGATTTTATCTTTATAAGGTGCCGATTTGTCTATGTTAGATGCCGATTTGTCTAGGTGCCGATTTGTCTGGGTGCCGAAGTGTCTTTCTCGGGTGCCGATTTGTCCGGATGCCGATTTGTCTGGGTACCGAACTGTCTAGAATTCCCCCTGAAAGAGTTATATGCTGAACTCTGAAAGGATTCCTCTGAAATGTATGATGTGTCAGTCTTGCGGTCTGAGGAGATAATAATTTTGATAGAAACGTATTGTCCTCAATGCTTATTTTGGAGAAAAACAAAATAATATGACAAAATCAATGATTATGAAAAGAAACCGGATTTGACCATTCATGGCAAAATAAATACAAAATAATATTATTTCGCACCTGATCGATTGGCAAGGGTATAACTGCACAAAGGGGCTCCAACAGCCGAGAACCCACGTAAAACGTTCCTGTTGTCATTTTAATGAGGTCACTTTTCTTAACTAATACAATAACATTTAACTTTCTTGATCTCTTGACGAAAGTACAAAAAAATCAACGGATCATGAGGACCATCGTGACCATAATGCTCAGCAAACATGGCGATGTAAACAGTTAGCCACTCGGAACAATTCGCGCCTTTTTTAAAAAGATAAAACTAACTACCATTTGCCAGTTACAACTACTATCGATAAACAGGCATAACTACCTGTATATTCTGTTATGGCTATATATTTTAGACGAATCTCCCTTTTTTATGCTCCTACATTTAGTGTTGCCAACATTTCCGTTTTATGTTACATTTGATTTAAACATACATGAATGCAAGGTAATTTTTTTGGTTAACTGCTAATTTTTTCAACTTTTAGACCACTTTATATAAATTTGATAACTGATCGATATTTGTTTATCAGTCCGGCAAAAATTATGATAATTTCGTACCATTTGATATATCTTCATTGGAAACTTGATATATTTTTTCCTTAAACATGATTAGGAAGAGCCAAGGTGGTTTGAGCGCACACTCTTGTTTGTGCTTACTTTGCTTTAATGTTTAATCAGTGTTAATTGCTGCTTTCATGCTTTATCATAGTGCTAATTATAGCTGCTAGCTTAGTGCTCATTCATGCATGCATATAATGTTTGTCGTTACCTAAGTTCAGTTCTAACTGTGCATGAAATATGTGGGTTTTTGTATGTCCTTTATGCTTTACTATCTGTATCGATTGTGTGTGTATATTGGGTACATGTATGTATTTGTCGGTTATAAAAGCCCAAATAGCTTATGTTATTGTTTATTTGTGCACAAACCATAACCAGAGCCAACTACAATGTACCTGTGAACCTTTCAACTCAAAACCATTACCAGATTAATAATACCTTCGATTTTATATATTTATGACCTGACCAAGTGACTTATATCATTTTACTACGGATACTGTACAACCTTCTCCATGTTTACACGATTCACGTCCAAAGGGGGACCTGTACCGTTTTCTCACTCTGGGCATTTATTTATGATATATATATTGATATTTCTGACTGATTAATTTATGATATATATATATTGATATTTAGGACTGATTAATCAGTTATGATATTTTTATATTGAGATTTGTGACTGATTAAATAGACATTGTGTGCTGAAACTCATAGCTGTTTTTGTTATATTATTTCATCTTACTTCGAATTTAGAAACCCGTCAGTGTCTAGACTGCTCAGTTAAGCTACCAAGTTACTTGAAAGTTACCATTGCAGTTTCAAAAATACCAGTGAAAGTTCAGTGTTGATAGGCCTGTTAATTACCAAGGTTGACTCGTCCAGTATCTCTAGTCTTACTGATACAATTAAATATACATTGGGGCATAGTACATACATGTGTAGTTATTTTTTATTGTGGTAACTCTTCATAGTTCTTGGTTTTCGTAATAAAGAGAAGCAGTTAATTCTGCACCCTGAGTTGTGGTAATGCACAAACTAGGAACCTGGTTTTCAAATTCAGAAAACATCAAGAAATTAAACACTGACTTGAAGCACAAAACTAGAATTAAAAACTATAAAAAGAAACTTTTCTTTATATGTAAACACTTTTGACCTTGTGCTATCGCATTCGCTGACTGGTGTAAATACACTATTGGCTGAAAAAATCAACAATTTTAGTGAGTTCTTTATAAGTATTTTTACGTGGGAACCTAGAGTTCAACGACTACACATACAAGGTTTGGACTTGCATATTCTTTGGACATCCAAGTTTCAAAAGAGGGACGAAAGATACCAGAGGGACAGTCAAACTCATTGATCGAAAACAAACTGACAACGCCATGGCCAAAAATAAAAAGTCAAACAGACAAATGATAGTACAGATGACACAACATAGAAAACCAAAGACTAAGCAACAAAAACTGGGGGTGATCTCAGGTGCTCCGCCTCGGAAGGGTAAGCAGATCCTGCTCCACATGTGGCACCCGTCGTGTTGCTTATGTTATTACAAATCCGGTAAATAGTCTAATTCGGTAAGTCACATTTCATCCCCGCAACCTGTTTTTGTCAATGACCTTGTTAGCCAATTTTCAACACGAAGTTTGCAAATTTGACGTTTCAGTCATTTTAACCTGTATTTTATTCCGCAATGTTAAAAGCCTCTCGCTTCGATTTTTAAAATAGCTCAGGAACCTTGATTTTTGCAACGACAGTCATTATGTTTCGTTTAAATGGTGTACATTGTTGTGTATATTTATTTTCTGTCCCCACAACCTGTCTATCACTTAAATCAAAGTTAAAACAGACATTTTTTTTTCAAAATTCCCTATCATTTCAATTTAATTTCCGTGACCCGTATCCGATTTCTTTATTATAATATTCAAATAAGCAAAGTGGCGTTGATTTCTGGATATGTGGAAATTAGGGTTACACTATAATGACAGGACGATTGCCCGGATTTTGACAGGATATTGACCGGATGAGATATAAATAGTCAGAACTTTTTTGTTATTTGATAGATTATTTCAATATTTGAAGACCTTAGAGATACTAAACTATGTTTTATAAAAATCTACCAAAAAATGTAAAAAGAAACATTTTTTAGCAAAAAAGTTGACCGGACGGATTTCACACTCACTGATGTACGCTTTACATATACTGAACTGATCGACAAAAAGTGTTTAATATCTCTTTTGTTTTACAATATTTTTTTTCATAAAACTAAGAAATCTGCGAGATTAATTAATAAATTATATGAAAATATAAACTTTATAGTAAAAAAAATGTTTTTCTACAAAAAATGTTGACCGGACGGATTTCACATTCGCCGATGTACGCGTTGATTATATTGAACCGATTGACAAAAAGTGTTAATATCTCTTTTGTTTTACAATATTTTTTCATAAAACTAAGAAATCTGCGAGATTAATCAATATATTATATGAAAATATAAACTTTATAGTAAAAAATAAAAAATGTTTTCGACAAAAAAGTTGTATGACCGGACAGTATTCAAATTCGCCGATATACGCTTTTAATGTATTGAACTGATCGACAAAAAGTGTTACTACCTCTTTTGTTTTACAGTTTAAATTTCATAAAATTAAAGAATCTGCGCGATAATTAAATATATTATACGAAAATATAAACTTTATAGTAAAAAAAAAAGTTTCTCTACAAAAAAAGTTGACCGGACGGATTTTACCTGCGCGAATTACGCAACGAATAATATTGACATGATCGACAGAAAGTGTTCAAAATTCCTTAGATTTTCAGAATATTTTCCTAAAATTGAGATACATTTGAAATAAACTTATGAATTATATGAATCCGTAAAAAAGGGATCTGCTTACCTTGTCGACCATGAAATAGAAGTTCCGATTTGGGAAAAGTATATCGACTGGAACAAATATTACAATATTTGTTCAGAACGGAATAAAGGGTAAAGAATAATTGTTCCAAGACGAACACATAATTTGGCATTTATTATAACAAAGTTTTCAGAGGAAATTCTGTCAGGCGGAACAAATATATGTTAAAAACCCTACCGGAGAACCTGATCAAGATCCGTGACAATCCCATTAAAACGAGATCGGTTTTTTATTAGATTGACTTTGTAGTGACCGCCTTCAACACGCCTGAATTTTACAGAAAGATGTAGATGTTATTATGTTCGTTGGTAAACTATTCCGTAGAATTGTAGAGCGAGCTGTGAGATTTCTTTTTTTTTTATATTCATATTTCGAGCTGAGACTACTATAACACACTGTGCAACAATAGTAAAACATCGGAAGAAAAATATAAGAATTATAAGAATATAATTTTCCTTTTGTGGTCTTAAGTATTTCTTGATTTTTTGCAAAAATCATATAAACTCAAGCTAATTGATTTAGAAATTTGATACTTAAAAGAATCCTCCAAGATAATATTTAATCGATGAATAGCACAATATAAAGGAAGTCGCTTTATTTTACCTTGAAATGTTATTCAAGTTGTTGCAACAATTTTTAAATATATTTCTTTTGCTTATTAGGATTTCATTTAATATTGGTTCGTTGTGCTACTCTTTTGCATTTGATAGATTTTGGGTTATAGGTTTGATTATTCGGAACGTCTTTGGAAATTTCTATTCTGGTCAGTCGTTCATATTTCTTGAAGGTATCGAGGCTGAAGATACCGAAAATGCTACGCCGAAACCCAACACGAATAGAAGTTAAACTTGACGATCTAGAAGAATATAATCAGATGAAAAAGGACAAAGAACTTGAACAAGCTAAACAGAGACTCGCGTCAAGTGATTGTCATACACCAACACAGGATTCGATCATGGATACAAGAACTAGAACTGAAATGATTCACGAGCGGATTGGGTATGATCCAAAACCACACCCACAACCAACTCTACAAGGGACAGTTAGATAGTTATACATGTGCTAATTTTGTCACACTGTTACTGCAAAATACAAACTTGTATAAGGAGGATGAAAGACTGGTGAACATGTTGATCAGACACAGTTCCAAAATTAATGTGTTAAATGATATATATTCATTCATGATCAGCTTGTCAGAAGATTTATATTTGCTGTTAGTAGCGTGCTTCAATGCATCAACAAGATTTAAATGAAATTAGAACAGTCTGACATCAATTGTTATACATGTTATATGAAAAAGACAATGCTGGTCATCTCTAACTTAACCTGCAATGGCTGCATGACCTATTAGCACAATCTGCAGTTATTTTTATATGTATTTAAACTGTTTAAAATCATTCACAACACTTGTTTTTTTTTATTCATATCTTTTGGCGATACTTCTTTCATGTATGTCTATGCTTTGCTTATTCCATCAATAGACACTGGTACTGGTTCACTTGCAAAATTGCTAACCTCGATCATTGGCTAGGTCAAACTAAGACTTGAAAATCGGTATTGGCTGCATTTCTACTGAGCATGTAGCATACAAAAGTGAGAGAAAAGACTGTCCCTGTCAGATATATAGGTCAGAGTAAGATGACATTTTTTCCTGCCAACTGTACCTTGTGAACTATCATGTTAGAAATCCAGAGAGAAAAAGACAGAAAAAAAGTACATGTTTGTATTTTATAAGGCCAATTAAAATT